AAGATAATACCACTCAGGAATCACCAGCCAGGGTGCCAGGGTGCCAGGGTGCCAGGGTGGACTTCTCTTTGCTTCATATATTATAGATTTGTTGTGTGTGTGTGTGGGGGGGTACATACATGCCATAGCGTGTGTATGGAGATCAGAAGGCAACTTGAGAGACTCACTTCTCTCCTTCCACTGTACGGAGAGCTGGGGATTTAACTCAGGTCACCAGGCTTGGCGGCAAGTGCCCTTCATCGTTAAACCATCTCGAGTCCCATGGTGGACCTTCTCTCCCCTTCACAAATGTGTCCAAGTGTGGCATTGCTACACGGCCGTCTATGAAGCTCACACTTGAGAACTGCACAATTAAGTTTTTAAAAAATGCTAAGCCCCCGCCACTTCGTAATGTTTTAAGTAATTCTAATGGGCTGTTATCCTGAACTACACATGGACTACAAAAATGAAGGTTAGCCCATACTCCCGTGACCACGGCCATGACTCCGAGAGTCAGGTCTGGGCTTCCCTTCCACACCATTCTAATTCATACATGTGGTTCTCTCTGTGGCTCCCCATTGTTCTGGAAATTAACTTGGAGAACAGAAAGGATTGGGATTATTGTCATTTTCCAAGGAAAGGGTTCTTGTCTTCCTTTCATGTGTGCTGTGTGACTTTTCCTGGGGAGAGATGAACAAGCATCCATTTACTCTCGATTCGGTCGGGTGATGTCTGAGAGAGATGGGTACAGTGCACTCCCAGTGTGTGAACCAATGAGTTTGTTGGGGTCACTTACAGAAACAAAGATGGGGGTTTACTTAACAACAGTGTGGGTGACTCAGAAATGGCTGCATCATCTCAAGGTCCCACCTACCACGGGTGACAACTTCTCGGAGTGCCCCTTCAGTTAGCCTTCCCTCTCTTCTGTACCCCAGCCTCTCCCAAGACTGTGTGCAGCCTGGGTGTAGAAAGGAATAATGTTTGGAATCCCAACCGCGGGTCCTGAGACTAGTCTTCCTCTCTTACACTGGTCATCCCATTACCATTGCCTTATCTACCAGTTTTGCTATGCTTGTATTGTTTCCACAACTGTGGGCCAAGCATCGTGGAAGTGTCATGGCAGTCCCTGCTCTGTGATGACCAATGATCATGTCACACCTGGAGAAAACTGCTTTACTCCATATGTATATATAATGTATACATATTCACACATATAATATAATATATAATCGATATATATGTCCAACATAATTAGTTGAAGGCATATCCCTGATAATCATCAAAAGCATGCATTCTTTGTATTAGTGTCTTGCCATTAATTTTTAAATGTAACTAGTGTGACTATTTAGATGTATGCGCCCATGTGTTTGCAAGCATGCGGCGTGCCTGTGTGCAGGTGCACACGTATGGGTGTGCATGCACTGTATGTGTGCCTGTGGAGGCTCGAAGTCAGTCTCAGGTTTCATGGAGACAGGGGCTCTCACTTGCTCTGGATCTTGCTGATTCAGCCAGGCTCGGGCAGCAAGTCTCCGGGATCCTCCTGGCTCATCTTCCCAGCTCTGGGATTACAGGACGTGCCTGGCTTTTCCCTGTGCACTCTAAGGGTTGAACTCAGATCTCCGTCCCTGCCTGGCAGCAACTCTACCTACTCATCCAGAGACTGCAGCCAGTGACCTGCCATTTGCAGTCTTCCTACAGATAAGCGTCCTGTTAGTGACGTGCCGAGTGAAGGGAGAGTGACAGTTGGCTCCTGCCTCAGCCATATGTCTGTTTTACTTTTTGGGGCCCGGAGCTTTGGTGAGGGCTGTCCCAGTTGCCGTGATGAGTGAACCTCTGATAGAAATAGAGGAGTCAGGAAGCGCAACCTATTTGTGGGAAGATGATTAATTCATTTTTAGACATTTTGAATTTGAAAGGAGGGCTTGACGTCCGGATGGAAGTGCCTGGCGCTTAGCTGGGGCTGTGGAGTCTAAATAACTCCCGGGTGCCCGTGTTGCAGAATTGTTTTTATAGTTTCCCTCTAAGTGGCTTTATGCTGTGGTCCAGTCCCCCTCTTAGGGATTTCATTGTTTGACCGCAGGCAGCTCCAAGGCTAAGCAGCATCCTTGCTGGCATGTCTTAGACTTGAAGGGGCGTTGGGGAGGGGCTGTCTGCTTGGCTTTGTCACTTAGTCCTGTGAAAGGAAAAAGATGACAGAAGAGAGGTCCCCGGTGCTGGACAGTGCGCAGGTGCCACAGTCATGATTCTTTTGCTTCCCTCCTCTTTTCCTGCCCCTCCCACTTCTTTCCCTCCTCCTTCTTCGCCTATTCTTCCTCTTCCTTTTTGTCCTCCTCCTCTTCTTCCTTCTCTATTCTTTCCTCTTTTCTGCCTCTTCTTCTTTCCCCTTCTCTTCCCTTTTCCACTTCTTTCTCTTCTTATTCTGTATTTCACTATGCAGCCCAGGCTAGTCTTGACTTGGCTGTGTCGCTGGCTTCAAACTGGTGATCCTCCTGCTTTATACTTCAGAGCAGTATGATCACATGCCGCTCCTCATTTGGATTTCTCAAATGAGCAGGGTCAGAATGCTTTGGACAGTGATTCTTGGGGATTAACATTGAGTTGTCTGTTACCCCCCTTGGGTGTGCACTTCACAGAGGACCCAGAGGGTAACAGTGCAGATGCAAACTTTAGTGCCCAAAAGGATTCTGCACGCTACTTACCCAGAGATAACAGACGTGTGCAGAGGCATTCCTTTCCAGGGGGACCAGGGCCTTGAACCTGTGCTGGGAGGAGATTACCCCTTCTATCACTTAGTCTAAAGAAACACCTTGCAATAGACCTGTATATGTATGTTAGGGGGAGAACTTTAGTGTGTGTGTGTGTGGACACCAAAGGAAAACCTTGGGTTTTGTACCTCAGGAGCCACCCACATTGTCTTTTGAGGCAGAGTCTCTCTCTCTCTTTGGCCTGTGGTTCACCGAGTAACCTAAACTCTCAGACTAGAGATCTCAAGAAGTCCACCTCTCCTATTGAGATTAGCAGTGTGCACCAATATATCTGATTTAATTTTGTGTGGATTCTGGGGTTCAGTCTGAGTTCCTCGTGTTGGCAAGGTACCACCTTACCCACCGAGCTATCTCACCTGTGCTGGGAGACCCACTATGCCCCAGTAATGGCAGTGATTTTGGCTGGACAGCATGTGAGTCTGGCCTTGAGGAGCCTTTAACTTCATTAAGAGTGCCCTAAATCTTTTCATTCCTGGACACCTTTCTTCATGGGAAGCCGTTTCTGAAAGTCACCTCTTTACCCCAATCAGTTTTGAGGGAGGTGTGGGGGGGGCTTCATCTCAGACTTACGTACCCCTGCATGCATGGAGTTGTAAAAACTTGGAGTTGAGTATGGTAGTGACTCCCTGTAGCCCCAGCACTCAGGAGTTTGAGTCAGGGCATCTTCAAGTTCAAGACCAGTAAGGGCTAGGTAGTGAGTTTGGGGTCAGCTTTGGAGCGCAGTTTCCTTTCTTGGTTTGTATGTGTGTGGTGTATACACACATGTGTGCAAAAGTATATATACGTTTGTGTGTTCATGCCCATGAAGAGGCCAGAGGAGGACATCAGGTGTCCTTCTCTATTGTTTATTCCCTTGAGACAGGGTCTCTTACTGACCCTAGAAGAGGGTGGCAGCCAGCAGGCTTCCGCTCTCCTTTTGTCTCCATCCCGAACCCCCACACTGAAGCTACTGGCACACACACATGGATATGCCCAGCTTTTCACATGGATGCTGAGGATTTAGGACCTCATACTTATTTAGAAGTAACCTCTCCCATTGAGTTGACTTCTCAGACCCCTAGACTCTCAATCAAAAACCTAAAGATTTTTGCACACTTCTTGCCTTCCTCGAGTGTTGTATGGCTGGGACACCCACTTTCCCTGGGGACTGTGAATACTTACAGCATCACTTGAGTGTAGCCAAGACATCCTGTTGCTGGAAAGGTCGGCATTTCTGGAACGCTTATGATTTCCTACACGGAGGGATAATATTTGAGGCCCACGAAAAGAATGAAGGGTGTTTTTTTTTTTTTCTGATGCAGCAGTGAGGCTGGGCTTGGTGGTGTTGAGTCTTTAGTCCCTACTACTCAGAAGGCCGAGGTGAGAGTGCAGGACGCAGGCCAGCCCCAAGCTACATGGTGAGTCCAAGCGCAGCCTGGGCTATGGAATGAGTTTTAGGCCAGCCTGGGAAAATTAGCAGGGCTCTGTCTCATGAGAGAAAGGGCTAGTGGATCAGAGATATAGCTCAAGTGCAGAATGCTTGTCTAAGATATTTATGCTGTACTGCAAAAACTCCTACTGTACCTATTGGTTTCGTGGGAGCCTAGGCAGTTTCGTGGATGCTCACCTTACTAGACCTGGATGGAGGTGGGTGGTCCTTGGACTTCCCACAGGGCAGGGAACCCTGATTGCTCTTTGGGCTGACGAGGGAGGGGGACTTGATTGGGGGTGGGGGAGGGAAAGGGGAGGCGGCGGTGGGGAAGAGACAGAAATCTTTAATAGATAAATAAAAAAATTAAAAAAAAGTGAAACAAACAAACAATAACAACAGCAACAAAAAACCGGAACAAAACAAAAATAAAGGGAAGTGATTTGATGTCTATCATGCTTTCCTGTGGTTTACAAGGGTGTTGCAGCTCAAATGCATATGAAATTGGAGAAATGGAAATGTAAAATTGTGATGAAGGAGGACCCAATGTCCTTCTAAATTTCATCTTTTAGTGTGTGTGTGTGTGTGTGTTGTGTGGATGTGCACATGTGTGGGGGTCAGATGAAACTTGTAGGATTCTGTTCTCTCCTTCCGCCATGTGAACCCCAGAGCTCCCACTCAGACCGTCAGGCTTAGAAGCAAGTCCCTTTGCCCACTGAACCGTCCCACCTGCCCCGGCTACGTAATTTTGCCATCTGAACAACAGAGCCAATCCTCCAAGGGAACGATGATGGAATGGACGAATGGTGATGTCCTTCTCTCCTTCTCTTCTGTTGTCTTCGGAGCAGGGAGAAGATGCCGTTCCACCATGTGACCGCTGGCTTGTTGTACAAGGGGAATTACCTCAACCGATCTCTGTCGGCAGGCAGCGACAGCGAGCAGTTGGCGAATATCTCTGTGGAAGAACTGGATGGTAAGGAGCCTCCTACAGGGGGCTTATCCCCCTCCCTAAAGCCATTTTGGATAACTGAGGAGCTCTACTGGGTGTTGGGAAAGTCCCCAGGCTGTTGGGAAACCATTTTGCACATTGGCGAACTGAGAGTGGTTGGCACTGGCAGTTGGGACTAAGTGTAGAGCGATGGGAAAGACTTGAGACAAACTTTGGTCTAAATGACCTCTTTGTGTGGGATGGACCTTGTGGCCTGCAAAATCTATGATGAATGTGGCTACCTTGGCCTCTGATTGGGGGATGGGTTAATTTTTTTTCTTAAAATCTATTGTTGGGATCCTCTTGTGATGGCCTATGCCTGTGAGCACTCAACTGAGGCAGGGGGATGGAGAACTGATTAGCCAGGACTATGTAGTGGAGGTCAAGGTTACTGTGGCCTATATAATGAGATGCTGTCTCAAAGCAACAAAACAAAAGACGTATTATGTATATAGTTGGCAGGGTCTTTATAGGCAGAATTACCTTGTTTTCTTTATTACCATTTATGGTGGAGTCCATCTGCTGGGGAGGCTTAAGCCCTGTTTATTGCTGTCTCTTGACTTGGGGCCATGGTGCTTTGAACAGTGCCCAAATAAGAATCATCTGGAAGCTTCATCTAGGTGGGAACAGGCAGCAATTACCTTAAGTGTCTTTGTTGTTGTATAATCCAGCACATCCCCCAGTGCCCAGGACAAGGGTTTAGGATGGAAATTAGCCCTGGCAAGACAGTGCCCAAATTCATCTTAGGATGGCGTCCCACTGCAGTTTGGATGAACTCACGCTCTTATTTAAAACAACAGCACCAACAACACAAACTAAAAATCAAAGGGAGTAAAGCCTTTACTCTCAACTAGAGAGCGAGGTTGATTCGTTTGATGATGCCTGCGGAGACCAAACCAGAATCGGTTTCCGAGTGGCTTCTTAATGCTGTATTCTAGCAATACCACCTTACTAAATCAACTTGAATTTTGCTTTGATTATAGAGAAGTTGCAACTACTCCGGGTGGACCACATCTTTGCTTCCAAGGTTCAGATCCGTGGCATTTTAGATGTGTCTCTTAGTGAGCTGGATTTCCCACTAACACTTTCTTGGGCCAACACAGGTACAGTGGCTTGCGTATGGCAGTGGGTGAGGAATGTAACAATGGCAGGCCATTGAGAGATTTTCCTTTTGTTACCCTTCTTGTTCGCATGGTTAGGGCAATGCTTGGTTATCCACGCAGATGACCAATGAAGCAGCAGGGCTCGTGGGTTGTATCCATGGTGATCCTGGGGAAAGTTGGGGAAAGTGGGCATTGTTTGGGATGTAGCTCAGGGGTGGAGCAGTTGCGCACTGTGGAGAAGGTTCTGGGTTTGAGGCTCAACACTGCAGAGAGAAATATCCAGGAGAGTGGTGAGGAAGGGAGGAGAAACACATGCACATACATCAACACCAACACACTCACACACTCATGTGTTTCCCGCCGCCCCCACCCCTGGACCACATCTGTCTTCCGTATCTGAACAGAGGCTGTTGGCCTGAAAGGTGAGTCATACTGGGATCTTTTCACCTTCTGTTGGTGAAAGGATGTGTAGGGATGCACTCCGTAGAGGCAGGAGGAGAGCCCTGCCGTCTCCAGAGTGGGCCTGGGTTTGTAACCACAACAAGAAGACTCCATGACTGCATCACGGTGTCTTAGTCCATTTGAAACTGCTGTAACAGAATGCCACAGCCAGGTTGATCTGTAAATGACAGGGAGTTATTTCCCATAGCCTGGGAAGCTAGGGGTAGAATATTATGGTGATATCCATGCATCCTCAGTAGAGGGCGGATTAATGCTCTTGGGCTTCTTTTGAAGGCACACCGATGCCGTTTGTGAGGGCTTTGTCCTTTTGATAACCTAACCTGAACACCCCACCTCATCATGTAGGTGATTTGGTTTCCCTGTAGGAATTTTGAGGAAGCACAACATTACGAACATAGGAGGTATATTTGAAGGAAAAGAGAAGTTTGAGTTTTCTCCCATTTTGGAAGTCTGTTACTGAGATGGTATGGTACATGGGTCTGGGGGAGATTGTTGCAGGGCCTTGTGGTGGTTTGATTCTAAAATGTTCCCCAATGGCTCATTCTTTTAATTTTTTTCTCCCCCTCTTTTTTTTTGTTACATTAACTATTTTATTTTGCTTTATAAAATAAAAATAACTGTAAAGGATCCTAGGTTTATGACTCATTAGCGTTGTATCATCCCGGCACCCTGGCCCACCTTTTACAGTTAGTTCACCCATATGGATCAAGCTTTTGTTTTGTAACTAGCCTTTGGATCTGATTCTTTGACTAGGTTTCTTAGACCCAGCTTTCTGCTCATGTTCAGTATCTCGTTGGTTGATGTAGTATTTAATTAACTGCAATTATTGCAAGTATATAAACATAACTAATTCTTGGTAAATTGATGGGAGCAGAAGCAGATGTACTGATTTGATGAAAAATCCACTTAACCAGAGGTGCATGTTCAGCAATTTATCAGAAGGTTTTACACAGAGAATGGAGAATGTTGATGATTTTACCACAGTTGGTTAAGAAGGTTTGTAGAAGCTGCTGCTGCCTTGCCTTCTAGTATCTGTGAGTATAAATGTGTGTCAGTGTATTTTATCTTTTAAGATTTATTCTTGGGCCAGGTGGTGGTGGCACACGCCTTTAATCCCAGCACTCAGGAGGCAGAGGCAGGTTGATCTCTGTGAGTTCGAGGCCAGCCTGGTCTACAAGAGCTAGGGCTGTTACACAGAGAAACACTGTCTCACCCCCCCCAAGAAAAAATTTATTCTCTCCCTCTCTCTATCCCTTCCTCCCCCCCTCTTTGTGTGTGTGTGTGTATATGTGTGCTTGTATATATATGCATGTATGTGCAGGTGCCTGTGGAGGCCAGAAGAGGGCACTAGATCCCTAGAACTGGAGGTTTGGGTTGTGAGCTACCCAGGTTTTTGTGCTGAGAACTAAACTTGGTTCCTCTGCAAGATCAGAAAGTGCTCTCCAGCTTCAGCTATTTTGTTATACAGCTATTTAAATAAAGGATTCAAGTCCAAATAATAATTGTATTTTTTTTTTTTAGTGATGGTTCAAACCCAGGGTCCTAGGAATGCTAGACACCATTGCACCTTTGTGAGCTTGTGCCTTGAGTTTGTATTCTCTGCCTGTGGTACTGTTTTGGGAGGATGTGGGACCTTTAGTGGGTGGAGCCTGTTTGTCAGAAGCAGATCATAGGGGGGCAGACCACTAACAGTTATCCACCTACTGGTTCTTATCGTTCCATCTTTTCATCCACAATGACGTGAGTACCCTCACTCACCCACTCCCACTATCACGTGCTGAGTTGCTCCATCAATCTTTCACTGTCATGTGGACTGAAATCCCGCTGTAGGGGCATGAAGGCACAATCCCCTAGACTTAGCTGCATTAGGAACTTGGAACATCCCACAGTAAGCAATCTGGCCATGGGAACTGGACAACGCTACCTATACATTTGGGGTAGTTCTTGTGTGTGTGTGTGTGTGTGTGTGTGTGTGTGTAGCTGCATGTGCATTGTGGGGGGTGTTTTTGCCTGTGTGTACGTGTGCACATAGAAGTCAGAAGACAGCCTCAAGTGTTGCTTCTTAGAATACAGGCACATTGTTTTCTTGAGACAGGTGTTTTATTGGTTGAAGCTCATAAGGTAGGCGGGCTGTCCTGCCAGCGAGTGCTGGGGGTTCTCCTGTTTCTGTCTCCCCAGGACATTCTACCATTTCCACCATGTCATCTTTCTTTCCCTCCTCCTCTTCCTCCTCCTCCTC